GCATCATACTTATATTCCACTGCACCCATTCTGCATTGTTAAATGAGTTTTCTGATAGAAAATGGTAGAGATTATTTGTGACTTTAAATATTATTGTCAGCAATTGCTAACAACAGCAGGAACTTGCTTGGCGCAGGTTAAATCCGGGTGAAATTTGAGGAATATAAAGCCTCTTTTGTTCTGTATTGAATAGCTATGCCACCTACAGTAGTGTATACAGTATAGTTCCTTGTCTGGCTTCAATTGAACAAGATATAACATAGAAATATGCAATATTCTATTATATAAGGATGAAAGCTAAGTAAATAGTGTTTGGTCTGTATTACTACATCATTGATTATGATGATTTATTATTGAAAATTATTTTAAAATAGTTAATTCCTTGATGCAGTAACATCTTCATAATAAATGAGAATATTTAGTTTGAAATTATGAGATTAAGAATAAATTTGGACTCAGTTACAAAATGATTTGGAAACTGCTCTTTATTTTATATCTCATCAATTATGAATTGTAATGATAAAAGTACTGTAGATCCAATAATTTGCCTTACTAACTGAGGTTCCTATATGAATAAAGAATATGGTTTTTTAGAATTCTAATCCAAATATGAAATTGGATACGCATTGGAAATTATAGATTTAGAGAATCATTTGAATGAGTGAGCCAACAGGTGACAGCAAATAGTAAATATTGTACTGTACCTTGCCTGCAAAGTTGCTACTGTACCCATCCAGAAATCATTTTATTGTTCGGATTTAGAAGTTTGTTCCCCGATATCACTTCACCAGCTAAGCTGACCTTGTACTATATTGTTTCTGTTTATACATAAATGAATTTTAATTTTGTATGTATTGCATTGTATACTACTCAGGTCAACTCAATTAATTAATTTTAATATGGAATCTTGGTGCTTATTTCTAAGTTACTGGACTTCTGTAAAATTCTATAATTCCAACACAATCAGGGGATGGTCTCAAGTCACGTAGAATTACATCCTAATATGAATTACGATAATTAATAACCATGTTAATCTATATAGTCAACATACGTTAGATAAGGTAGTGAGTTTTTACAGGCCAGAATTGAAAAAAAAACAACTTTATGATTGAATGTGCTTAACCATAAATAATAAAACTATTATTATTATTATTATTTGTAGAATGTTTTTAGCTTATCAGATAATATTATGAGTAGTGATAATTATTAGCTATCCCATCCCATCAGCTCCCCTTCCCCATCATATTAGCTCTCTTCTCCCATCCCATCAGCTTCCCTGTCCAATCCCATCAGAATCTCTCACCCACCTTATCAGTATCTTTCCCCATCCCCTCAACTTCCCATGTTAAAACCACTTTGCCACTCCCTAAAATTTGAAGTATTGTTAATATGCCGAGACTGTTATTTCATAGATAAGATATATGAATTTATTATAATGTTCTTTTAATTACTTAAAACCTGTGCGACATTAAATAATTTTTATTTATTGATTTAGTACATAATTTGTGATTGCTTTGCATGGCATTTAATGTCTGATCGTTTATTATAATTTTATAATTTTTATTATTTTTAAGTACTATTTTTATTGGTTTTGTTCTTGTTTTTGCGTTTATATTTTTTTAAATATTGATTTAATTCTTTCTATTTTAGATCAACTATAGTAGGTAGTAAGTCTTTTGTTGGTATAATTTCTATTGTATATGCATAGAGTGTCTGTGAATCTCATAATTCTGATTTGATGTTTGTGTTTTTGTCTTTGTGAACAATGCTCTTTGTTCTTTTGTTTATATCTGTTTGGCTCGTCCATCAGTGTACGGTCTGTATTAGACCAGTATTACATAGAAGCACAACATCCTCTAGTTTCCTTGGTTTGGCAATCAACTTTGACATTTTTACTCTTTCTTTAATACCTTTAATTAATTCTCATCTAAAGAGAAACATCTACAGTATAATGAATTTCTTGATGGATTTGACAAATTTTAATATTTATAATTTTGTTCTCGCATTTATTATGCCTTTCCCTTTCCAACTAAGTAAATATGGCTTGTACACAAGCAGGTTTTGTGAATTATAAGCTTTGGACACCAATTAATAAATCAGTTAATCAGTCAGGTATTCAGGTATTAACAAAGTTTCATATATGTTTTAGTTGGTTAAAAACTAGGCCCAAGTTAATGAGATTTTTGTGATAATTTAGTTTTTAAGTGTCTTGATTTGTGTTTAACTCAATAATCTTAAACTTATTTATTTGCATGCCTTTCATTAAACTCATTATTGCACTAATCCCTAATTGCCACTGAATGGATTTAATCAAATTTATTAGTACAGTATAATCCTTTCCAAGTGACTATTGTGAATTTTGGAGGTACAAGTCCGACAGTAGGGTCCGCTGTGTGGGACCACCTAGAGGGTCAGAATTAAAGGAATATAATCAATCTCTTGTCAAGTACATGCGGATAGATTTTATGGGGTAAGGATGACCCAAAGTGCTCTTAAGAGTACAGTATTAGGGACTGGCAATCACAATAGCTTTGTTTGAAGTTTGGATAACTGGGGTCCATATTTGTCCAGCAGCACCCAAGGTTATGCTGCCACTGCTACTATCTTGGCTAAATTTAATTGTAGACAAACAAATAAATACTAAAGTAAGATCACCTTTATGATGTAATACTTCCTAGAAAATAAGTCTATTGAGGTCAGTACATCAGAAAGAATATTCATTTCTAATGACTTGCAGAATTGTTTTTTTTTTTAACACCAAGAAGACATCCTGAAGCTATCGCCTTTAAAAACACTTGTTAAGACCATTCTTTGTGAACCAGGATCTCACTCAGTTCTATTTGTTCTTGCAGCAGTCTTTTCTAGGACGCAAGAAGATGAGCGGTGGGAGTGGAAGCGGTAGTAGCAGCAGCACGAAGAACCATGTAAATGGTATGTATCATATCACGATCGGCGACACCACCTTCCACGTTCTAAAGCGGTACCAGAATCTAAAGAGTATCGGATCCGGAGCTCAGGGACATGTCTGGTAAGCATTATATTTAGCGTGACTGACAATCGTTGGCAGACATTACATCTTTTCTGTCTTTTCACATTCTGTCTATAGGTCTGTCCTTTACAGTATCCATCTTCTTGTGGTGTCATAAAGATTGGTGGCATTTTAACCACTTGCTCCCTGTCGATTTCTGTCCTCTTGATATTGCTGCGAATTATCTGAGGAATCATCAAAACTTGTATGTGAGCGGGCCCCCCCCCCCCATGAACCTATCTCTAATCATAAGTGGTCCACCAGGCTACCTCCCCATGCCATACTTAGATTTTTTATGGTTCACCGTACTTACTGTAAGTATAAAATCTGTATAATCTTGACTTGTGTTGTCATGGGTTGTTATTGATTTGCTAGTTGCTCAGGTACTGTAATGGGATATGCTCCATTGCCTGTTATCCTTTAACGCAAATTGAACTCCAAACCTATTTAATTCTCATGATGTATATAGTTAACCACAATAATTTGTTGATAGTGAAAATGTTAATTTTACTTCATTATTTTTTGAAAATATGCAAATTTAAAGTTTAAGATACAATGGTCAACGAAAGGAAAGTTAAATATTGTTTGTTATTATATAGTACACATTTCTGTGTCTGACCTAATCATTTAATTAATACTTCATTTGAAATATTAATGTTTGTTTTTTTAATTTAGATAACATGTTACACAATCAAATGAAAGTCTTCAACTGCTTATATTTTATATTCGATTAAAATGTAAATAAACTGGTAATGGTGATTTTTCCAACCTTACTTGTAGCGTGTTATAATAAGATTCACTGACCATTAAATGGTTAGACTGGGATTGCTACTTGGACAGTGTGTCCAGTACATAAACTGACCATTAAATGGCAAGAATCGTGACATCACATATTAACATTAGATTTCTTACTTGGATGGCGCATCCAATACATTTATTATAGTAATCACTTGTTTTTTATTATCATTTCAGCGCTGCCTATGATACAATAACCAATCAAAATGTAGCAATCAAGAAATTGAGTCGTCCATTCCAGAATGTGACGCATGCCAAGAGAGCTTATAGAGAATTCAAACTTATGAAACTGTGCAATCACAAGAATGTAAGTCTTTGGAGGGGAGAGAAAGTGAGTGGGAGGGAGGGGAAGGATAGTGGGAGGGAGGGGAAGGATAGTGGGAGTTGAGAGAAGGATATTGGGAGTTAAGAGAAGGAAGAATTGAGCAATTAAAAGGTTCTGTCACTGGTAAATAGAAAAAACAATGGCAGACAAACAAAAACATTATGGGAAAAACAAACAAAAACATTACAGATGGATTATTTATGTGTAAGTGTATTATTTCATCGCTCACATCACAAACTAACACAATCAGTGTAGATTGTGTTAGTTCGTGAAATCAAGAAAGCGCTGTTGTTGTTAAGGACTTTTTGTGTGGTAAAGAATACAAAATTGCTTGACAACCAATACACGCTCATTTTGACGCACTACTGTGATGTCACGAACTAACACAATCTACTTTGATTGTGTTAGTTTGTGATGTGAGCGACGATTTGTTCCTCTATAGCCAATTATATCTTTTTACTTATTTTCTTCTCAGATCATTGGTCTACTGAATGTATTTAGTCCTCAGAAGACGTTTGATGAGTTCACCGACGTCTATCTTGTGATGGAGTTGATGGACGCTAGCTTAGTGATGGTCATTCAAATGGACCTTGACCATGAGCGTATGTCTTACCTCTTATATCAGATCCTCTGTGGAATTAAGCATCTACACTCTGCAGGTATCATTCACAGGGTAAGTGTAGCCAAATCGTACTAGGCATACATAGCTAAGCTACCTCCCTCAAGAGGTAGTCAAGCCTACTGGGCATCTCAGCTACCTGCCTCAAGAGGTAGTCATTCCTGCTGCGCATCTCAGCTACTTGCCTCAAGAGGTAGTAAGGCCTACTGCGCATCTCACTTACTTGCCTCAAGAGGTAGTTGGGCCTACTGTGCAACCCAGCTACCTGCCTCAAGAGATAGTCAGGCCTATTGTGTACTCAGTTACCTGCCTCAAGAGGTAGTTAGGCCTACTGCATATCTGGGTTACTTTTCTCAAGAGGTAGAATAAGCCTACTATGCCTCTGAGCTACAGTACCTGCTTCAAGAGGTAGTCGGACCTACTGCATATCTCAGTTACTTTCCTTAAGAAGTAGTATATGCCTACTTTGCATCTTAGCTACCTGCCTCTAGAGATAGTCAAGCCTACTTTGCATCTTATCTACCCAGAGGTCCCATGTTGGGAGAAGTCACTTCTGGCAGATCAGGTTAAATGAGCTTTCGTAAATCATCTAATTTTCATTTTACTACACATAGTGATGCTTATTGGTACTGACTTCTTATGTGACAATTGATAATCAAGTAGTGAAACATTGCAAATATTAGGAAATTTGCAAGAAGTGGGCTATTTTCCGGGAGATTTATCCTTGTTTACAGGAGACTTCGAACCCCTATCTACCTGGCTCAAAAGGTAGTCAAGCCTGCTGCACATATACTTCTCATTACCTACCTCAAGAATTTAAGACATTTCAGCTTTAAGTTTTACATACCATGTGAAAGTGCCTTGGTAGTTTGGATTTTTTAATTAACAGTTGTTTTCAGCTCAGCTGTTTTGTCAAAATATCGAACATATATTTTTGCTCATTGCTGTTAAGGAAAAATTCTCCCTACATATATAAACATAAGTAAGTAATGCCACGCAAAACTGGCAAGTAGGCCTTAGTTATAGTAAATTAAATCGGTTAATCATGGTAACAAGGCTGTGCAACAAAAATATCGTCTGTGTACATTATTCCCTTATACTTAAAACTAGAAGTTTACATCTCTGCATTCTCCAGAGATCTTTGATGTATTGCACTATTTACGCCATCCATCGGAAGGGATGTTTAGCTATTGGTGCACGGTACATAAAAAACCGTATGCATGGATGAGAGCGTCTTTTATTAATCAACGTCAAAATTCACAGCATTTCTATATATAGTAGTTTCCCATTATTGTGAGATTATCTCTTTCATGGAAAAGCATTTATTGCTTTAGACAATGTTTGGCCTATTTTAATAGTAGTTAAACAAGGTACAGTCTTGTAATAGAAAACTTTTAAATTCTATAATATAGTATAGGATTCCCATGAGAAATAAACCCTTGGGCTCTTTTTAAATTCTAAAAACTCTTTATTCTCTTACTTCGCTCTTCCAGTTTCAAAAAGTAATAGAATGATTTTCTGAATAAACCCAACTGTGTGATAGCATACAAATGTTTAAATGTAGTAGTACTATTGTGTTTGCATCAATGAAAACATTTAGTCTATTAAAAGTCCATCTACATTATTGTTATTATTTGGTTGCGACATATATGTATAGCCTTTCTCATTGTAAGGTGAATTAAAGCTTTTTTAAGGTGGTTTAACTTACTTGCTATAGTTGCTGCCCCTTTGAACTTGAACTGTAGCTCAGTAGTTAAGATGCCTATCTTTGTATCCTAGTATTCAAATAATAATAATAATAATACTGTAAAAATAATAATAATAGTGGTAGACTTATATTGCGCATTATGGTAAGTCCTCTATGCACTTCACATTATCATTACCCCGGTTATTGGATTAAATGCCTATGGAACACAAAATCAGCTCCCTGGGGAGTATTCTATAACGTTGCAGTAGTTACATCAGCGCATTTTGGCATTTAACCTTACCAGGTACCCACTTGTACTCCTGGGTGAAGAGGCAATGCAGATAAAGTGCCTTGCTCTACAACACAAGTGTAATGCACAGCAAAGAATTGAAGTCCCGACCTTGAGGTTGGGAAACCAAACCGTTCCCATTGTGCCAAACCACTCTAATACCAAAATTTTTCCTCATGACAAAAATGAACCCAATCCTTACGCCTCATAACAGACTTCATTCGATTCTTGGCAGTAGAGAGCCTTTAATTGATTGATTTAATATTATAATACTTTTTTATATATTTTCTTTCAATTTTAGGATCTGAAGCCCAGTAATATAGTAGTAAAATCAGATTGTACGTTGAAGATTCTGGACTTTGGTCTTGCACGAACTGCAGGCACTAGTTTCATGATGACCCCCTATGTTGTGACACGGTATTATAGGGCACCAGAAGTTATCCTTGGAATGGGCTATAAGGAAAATGGTGAGTAGGATACAATAGTGGATGTATTAAGCTTCGCAGTTTATATTGCCAAATATATATTTCCTTTTCTTTGGGAAACGTGAGAAAGCCTATAATTCATGTTGCCGAAGAACGTTAGTAGAATGGGAATTGTTTTTAACCTTGCAATAGAGTGCACTCACATGATGTCAGATATTCAAATTCACATATAGATTGATGTTATTAATAATGTATTTAGTTCTGGAATTACTGAGGGTTTTTTTTTTTTTCCAAATGTATATTACTTTTCAGTGGGAAAATGTGAGATTGTATCATTCATGTTGCCAAAGAATTCTACCTGTAGTATAATGGGAATTGTTTATTAACCTTCAATGCACTGCACTTGCATGATTTTAGATATTCAAATTTACAAATAGATTGATGTTATTAATAATGTAATAAGTATTATTTCTCCAGATGTATATTTCCTTTTGTATGGGAAAATGTGAGATTACCTCTCATTCATCTTGCCGACGAATGCTAGTAGCATGGGAATTTTTAATCATGTAATACACTTCACTCACATGATATTAAATATTCAAATTCACATAGAGAATGATGTTATTAATTATGTAATGAGTAATTGAACTCCTGGGTTCTATTGAACAACCTCATTTTGAGCTTGGAGCAGTGACAGTGTTTGCTATTTTGTTACAAGCATTCTCCACATTTCACTTTAGGCTATATAACTGTAATGGGTGATTTTGATAATTTGTGATTGCTTTTAGTTTATTTAACAAGCCTCATCCAATGTACGATTAAGATCCTTTAAATGTACTCCAGTAACCTTACTAGTTGATTAGTTAACTTGATAAGAGCGTCTTCATATTTCTACTGTTGGGTTCGTAACCAGATATTACTGCAAAAGGTCATTATCCAGTGAATCATACTCAAAAGCGGGTTGAAGGGGGAAGGGAATAAGGGGCGAGCTGAAATTTTGATGTTAAATTTTATTAGACCAGCATATGCCTCTAGTATATTTTAAAGATTAAATATGTAGACAGAGTGCTAATCACATTATAAATAACATAACATAGGCTGTTGATTCAAATTCAGACAAATAAACACAGAAATACAGGAGACAATACAAGGTAACTTCCTGCAAAATACAATTTATTGAGCACTATTTCGGGATCGCTTTCTTTTTAAATGAGACGTGTATACAGTCTTGGATTAAGGAGTAGAAATTATTTAACCACTTTACATTTTACTTTATTTTCAAAAATCTTATTTTACTTTGTGATGTACATAAAGGTCAGGACAATATTGAAATCATCATAACATGAATTATAAAAACTTTAAAATAAAAAAAAATGATTAGTTAATGGCAATACATATCATGATTCTGATAAGTGTACCATTTTGAACTTTGTTATATTGCCAAGAGAGAGCACACATTTATGTATTGTTTTTACTTGACAAATAAATGCTATCTTATCTCCTAGGCTTTATAATGCATCAGAAAGGCATTAAATTTCAATCTATAAAATCACATTATTTATCCTCGGCACCAGTGTCAAACTATTATCACATGATTCACCATTCCTATATCGTTAATGTATTTCAGTTAGACAGTGATAAAGCTTGTAGTTGTAACTAATGCTGCAAATAACACAATGTCATGTTTTGAAGAAACATATATTGAGATTCTTGTGTATGACGTCTTTTTATTTTTAATATTTTCCTTAATAGTTGATTTGTGGTCTGTTGGTTGTATATTTGGCGAGATGATCAGAGGAGCTGTGTTGTTCCCGGGAACAGATCGTATCCTTCTAAATATTTAGTTAAATATTCATTTTGGGAAGGATTAGTACAAGAAAAGTTAATTTCAATTTCAACTTTATTAAGTCCTTGCGGAAAGTATTTCATAGCATACATTTAAAAATATGAATAAAAGGGAATACTGTATATTAAAAATATAAAAAATACTGTAAAAAAACACCATATTAAAAATATTGAAGGCCTACTTCATTTAAAATATCATTTATTAACACATCGTAAAAAAAGTAAAAGTATTGCATCATTTAGAAGCTGAATGGAATATGGAACAAAGGAATTATATCTACCAACTCTGCCACTGACTGATCAAATTCAGTCTTTTCGACCTCATATTGACAAAAAATTGATGTAAAGAATGATTAACAATGTGTGCCTGTATCGCAATGTTAAACCAATGTTATAGTAGCAATAATTATTGATATAATTAACATTAATTAATTAGATTACAATTTGTCCATGCATTGTCAGCATTGTTTACGGCTGAACAATTTTAAATAAATGATAATTTAAAAATGAACAAATGTAAAGTAAAAAAAATTCAAGCAAAATATAATTCTTTAACTATATCCTCAAAGATATTGATCAATGGAATAAAATTATAGAATTATTAGGTACACCATCTCAACAGTTTATGAAGCGGTTACAACCGACGGTACGCAACTACGTGGAGAATCGACCACGTTATGCAGGCCATATGTTTGACGTCCTCTTCCCAGATGAGCTCTTCCCTGAAGACAGCACATCAGAACCCAATAAACTTACAGGTAAGGTGCTTGCGACATAGGTACATAACAAATTGTTAATTTTAGTCCTGTCCAGCACACATCACCAATCTTTTTTTATCCTTATTGTTTTATGAAGAGCATCCTGGCAGTGGAGTGTGCCTTAGCTCAGTTGGCTAAGCTAAGCTTGTTGGTGGCAGACTCATCTGTGTGTGTGCTGAACTATGAGAATCTTTTTTTTATATTTATTCCTCCCCTAATATTTTTACTTCCTTTACACATCTTAAAAGAGCTGGGGAGGATGAGTGTGAATTGAACTGCATCACAATGGAGCATGTTATGATTGAAAACACACCTTATTAGTCATTTATCAGCTATAGAGGGCAGCAGATAAGTGAGCTCAGTATGGATTCCTTCTTAACTTGTGAACCCATTCTGGATATAAAGTAAATTTACTCCAACAAAACAGGTTCTTGCATCATGTTGGGCAATTTGTTGTTTCAGTATTTAAAACAAACTCCTTAAGTTTAACTTTAAAAGTGTTAAATTTATTCTTCAATTGTATAATTTAAGTTAAATTTAAAGGTTTATTATTGTTATACATACAAAATAGCTTTATTTTTATGTTGTTTCATCTGGAATGTTTTAATATTTAAACTGCCTTCATGAATATGGGCAATAGGGATGGGTTCACAGAAGTTCCTATGTTGTCCATAAACCCTTTCCACTTTCATATTTCCACTGTTTTATTAGCTCTATTGAATTTGTATTTTCCATGTTTGTTTATAATTGGTCAAATGTTTTAATTGGTTTCACAATTTTTGAATTATTTTTGTATTAGTCTACTTTCATTCAGATTTAAACTTTTTCAAAATCCACTTCTACTTAACATATAACTTATAATACACCCTCTGTGGTGATTGCTTTTTTAACTTGAGTGGTTTGTGGTAGTTATGGAAATTGCAGCAAATAACACTTACTAACTTTCACCCATCATTATGTGAGGTGTTGGGTTCACTGGTGGATCTTTATCTTGTCATCCTTATGGTGTGGACAATCAAAATAAACAAACTATTAAACTTGCAAAATAACATAGCTTGTCACAGTGCCACCTCCTTGCTTATCTAATGCTGCAGCCAGGTGAAATAACAGTTTCATTTATTATGCAAATATTTTGCTTTTCAGATTCTATCATTCTGAAACACATGCACTTATATTTGTTATATCATTTATTAATTTTCTTAATGAAATCACCTTTTAATTTTTTTCTTTAAAAAGATCACTGTTAAGGTGATAGTTGTCACCAAGTTTCTTTATGTTTAGCTTAAATTTTCTGCTTTGGGTTTTCTTATCTTTGCTTTTGCATGGTGGCTTATATAGTATTCCTCTGCACTTTTATTTTGCAGCAAAGCAAGCAAGGGATCTTCTATGTAAAATGCTGGTTGTGGATCCTAATCAAAGAATATCTGTCGATGAGGCACTTAAACACCCCTATATCAATGTATGGTACGATCCAAGTGAAGTGGAAGGGGTAAGGTCAATGCATGCAATAGCTTTAGGTTTTCTTATTTTGCAGCCAGTCATGTACGTGATCTCCTGAGTAAGATGCTTGTGATTGATCCGGATCAGCGTATATCAGTAGACGAGGCGTTACAACATCCATATATCAATATTTGGTATGATAAGGCTGAAGTCGAAGGGGTAAGAATTGAGTTTACGACACAAGATGCAGAAAGGTTTCTTACCAACAAGTGTTTGAGAGAGTAAAGACGATTTGTGGCCAGAATTGTTGTTTCTTTTGTCATAAATATACACTGCTAAAAATAAATGAATAAAACAAAGTAGAGTAAGGATAATATTTATGCTACTATTATTTTGGTTCATAAAATGGTACCCAGGTCTAAACAGTGGCGTAACACACAAAACTATCAAATTAAAATGCATTAATACCACATTCATAACTCACAAATATTCTAAGTAGACTCATGACAACACTTCTTTTATACAGTATCAACTCCTACCCAAAATGCTCCAAAGCCGGGCTCCACTACAAACATTTAAATTCTCCCGAAGGAATAATGAAGTAAAAGAATTCACAGAGTATTTGAATTACATTATAGTAATATAACACTCTACGGTACTGTTTGATATTACACAATGAAAGGGTCCCCTCGTAATCGACTACTAAAATGCATTGGGCCCCCAACACTTTCACCCCTGGGATCTGTGACTTGTCATTATGCCACTGGGCCTAAAAGAATAACTATGGTTAAGGTATAAGATTCAGAGACATGAAGACCTGAGGTTGTACCTCAAGGTGATTGTAAACTTGTTCAGGTGTACAACAGTACATCTATGAAGATGTCATTAAACCTCAATTCCCATAGGAATCATTTGGATTTATTGGGAATTTCGTGTTTGTTTTTTCAGCCTGCACCGATTCCATATGATCATTCAATAGATGAGAAGGAACTAACAGTAGAACAATGGAAAGGTAATTTTGAGATGTGGTACATACATTGGGAGGGGGAATATCTCTGTTGATTCTTAAAAGACCAATTGTTCCAAAGCTGTTGCTTGCATGTTTACTGTGAGGATATGCCATGACCAAAAAATGCAAATACTAGAATTTATTTAGTATATGTACTTATTTAGTATTAACAAATACATTCAATTTAGTATTTGCCAAAATTATCAAAGTATTGCCTCCGTTATGGTAGATATTTTGTCTTTAATTAATATTGTACTTTAGTGCAAGTCTACAATCTCTATTTTGCAATGTAACTTTCTACTTGGCCCTGATATTTTATGTTTTCTTTTCACATATTTTATTTTTCAGATTACATTTTCAATGAAGTGATGAATTTCAATAAGGTTCAAAATGGAACACCAGAAGGTGTTCAAGGTAATAAAAAAAATTGCATTTTTAGTTTGAAGAGCCATTTCAACCCTCCCAAAGGAGCCACATCAACCTTCCCCAGGTTTCACTGCAACCCTTTCCAGGGTACAAGCTCAATCCTAAGGGTATCAACACTACCTTCTGTGTAATGACACCTCAACCTTTTCTTGGGTGGTGCCTCATCTCACCACATCCTTCTATTCCCTAGAGGCCTCCCTTTATTGCCTTATTCTTTACTGGGTCCCCATTTCCATCCTCTTTTATTCCTCTTCTCCTTCATTGCATTTCAATTGAAGCATAGCCAATTTTAGAACACCTCATAATGATATTTATGTGTCCTTAGTGGCTGCTTCCTGACTTGAGTGCTTGTACCATGGAGTGCACTGACCTTGATAACTAGGTCTGGGTCATTCTAAATCCATGCCAACACATTCCAGTATGCTTTTCTTGTTCATATTCATGTCAGTGGATGACCTACTGTTCCCCATGGTAAAGAACTTAATTTATGATTTATTATTATTTTCAATTTATATTTGAGGGGTATTTTTTTTGTCTATTTATTATTGGGTTGTTTGCTTCAAACTAATTACATGCATGACTGATTTTGGAAGTGTTAGATATTTTAGACTGGCATTAAAATTGATGATGGTTTGTGAGATGTGATTATAAATATATTAATTATTTATATAGTGATATTTGTATTTTGTGACTAAGGGGAGATGCCAACCAATCTTAGGGATAAACACTTATTATTATTATTATTATTATTATTATTATTATTATTATTATTATTATTATTATTATTATTATTATTATTTATTATTTTGGAAGACATAGGATGAAAAATGTAGCACCCTAACTTATGTTGTGACAACAATAATAAAATCCATTTTTATCTTATGTATAATAGATAAACAATATAAATCATTTTAGACATTTTAATAAATTTATTAAAGATTTCGTGTTCCTTTTTTTTTTCAGCAATGGATCATAGTGGTGCTGTCGGTAACAGTGGTGGGGCTTCTGGGATATCTCACGGATCATCATCAGGAGCATCTTCCGGAAGATAGTATTGTAATACGCCGTGGCAACGACCCTGTAGCCATGGAAACCAGTGGGCATGCTCACAACTTGCAAGGTGTTTGGCCTTGTATCCAAAGTGGAAGTAATCCATGGGGACAGACTCCCCGTTCCGGTCGCATCATAGACCTCCGGGGGTCTCTGGCGACAGACGTTTACTTTGCCGACAGTTAATTTTCTTCCGGCCGACTGGACGGGTACATTGAATATAGGTTTAGTGGTGGTGACGCTTTTCTCTGTCCGTAAGAGATACCATTGTACAATGTGTTAACCCTGTCGGTAAATGGCAATTTAATGGCATATCACTTCTGTCAGTCACAATCCTTCAAATCAGAATATTTTAATGAATGCTTAACAGATCTCAAATTTATTAACATATCACAATTTAATAATCAAATTAGGATATATATAATATATCTACAATATATTTCAAAGCATCATTTGCCACAATCTGGAGGTAAAGATAAAGAGACTGCCAAACCAGATTGTGTAAAAATATAATTTCATACCATTATTAAATTCTTGTTATTGAAATTACAGATTTTTATAACCATTTAGTTATGGTTTGTGGTTATCTGTTAGGAGTTCACAAAGACTAAAATCTATACATTAATAAAAAAGGTGTGGTGTGTACAGATTTGTCAGTAATGTAGAAATTGTGCACATAGGTTATCGGGACCGGAATTTTGTGAGAATGAAATAAAGTGATGGTTCATGCATTTTAGTCAAATCCCCATTAATGTATTTACTAGACATTGTATCTGGTTTGCTATTGTTGGAGGAAAATACTACCCCAAAAGTTTTGTATATGAACGTAAATGTTTGACCCCTTTCAATTTGCCATTCGTGTGTCACTTGTGAAGGAAGTTTTTATTTTGTAGGTTTGTTCAGAGCCCTTGTCAGATCATATTTTTGTAGTGTAGTTTGAACCATTGTCAGTTTGACTGCTTTTGCCCCTCATAGCTATCAATATGAATCACTGTAAATATTGTGAACTGTTCCGTGTAAAACATAGTTTGAAATATAGTTCATAAATACACGTTCGAAAACGGCTTCATTGAGGTACTTACTTGAATGATTGCCAAATATTATCATATTAACTAAAAACATTTGGCGTGATGCTTTGATGTTTTGTTTTTTTCTGGACATTGTACATATTGGTACCACCCTTATGAACATTTTCAGAGTAGGGCTGAACGTTTAAGAATAGTTTTTTTTGGGTGCCTAATGATAAGCATTGCTCGATGGGTCTCCCTGTTGAAATCGCAATGTTAGACGGGGAGTGTTCTTGTTCAGTTACACAAAGCAAAAATTGCAACATTTTTAAAAATCTTGTTAAGTGACAATCGTAGTTTGATTGTACAAATTGCTTTGGATGAGGCTCAGGTGTTAGGTTGTGCTCAGGTTATGTGTAGTTGCTTATTTTTATTCATAATTATAATGAGCTTCGAAAAAAAAAAAAAAGAATTTACTAATCTATAAGCTTGTGAGAGCAATATAGCCACACAGTAATTGCCACAGTGAGCCTACATTTAAGATACTGAAGTCTGAACTTCAGGCAGTGAATGTGGACATTGAGCATTGGCCTGCACTAACATAGTGCATTACTGACATGCACTTCTGTTTGGATATTAGCTGATCAAAAAATGTTACGCTCCAGTGGTTAGAAATCACCACATTTTGCTGGGTAATTCCCCTGTTAATCATCAAGCCCTTTTCCGCTTCGCACCTCCATCAGCCCCCCCCCCCCATATAAACACTCATAAGTACGCTACTGCAAGCATTAGTGTATGGGTGTGCATGGGCATAAGCACATTGGTTTGTAGGGTGCACTGGCGATGTGCATGGTTGTCCATCCATTAAAGGCATGCATTAGTTGGCATCTGTGTCATTGTCATTACTGTATTTGCGAATCACCATTAATACCCCAGAACCCATCATCTTCATCACTGTACAAGTTCATTGTACTCTTATTCCACCTTCCATTTCCCACACCAGTTATTATTGATAAAAAAAGACACAATGTGAATAATATATTAATAATTTGAGTACAATTTTTAATGATTGCCTTTCAATTGTTGCGCAATTACACAATTGTCATCAGATTTTATTATTGGCCAATATGTTTTTTATATGTACCACAAAATTCAGCTAAGGATGCTTTCTAAAGCAAACAGTAGAGGGCAGTGTTCAATAAAACAAGCAAGCAATGCAGTACCATCAAAATAATATTTTCTCTCCATGTTACATTAGTACTGTATTGGATGATTTAATAACAAATTTAACTAGTTTTTGGTGGATAACCAGCAAGAACTTTTTCTTCCCTTTTTTAAATACAAGAATGTTTCATGGACATTATAAAGTATTTTGAGCAAACACACATGTGACCCATGGACCACACATGTGACTCATGGACCACCCATGTGAATGGTTAATATATATATATATATATCTATCAGTGACTTACGGTGGAGATTCAATATCGGTGGTTTTTTTTTTCACATAGCTAATTTTTTCTAGGTCGGGTCTTTATTAAAATATGTTGCTACAGTATAAACATTTAGATTGAGATTTTTTTTGTAGGGTCGGGTGATCCAATGCTCAGTAATTTAATCAGTTAACAGTATGGAAAGTAAAATTAGTCTCAAATTAGTTATTGGGTCATTAGGCTTTCGTAACAGAAATCAATTATTTGCACCAAAGAAAGCAAGTAATATTAATAGTATAACAAGATAAAAAAGATTGTAGTCATTCCTAAATGTTGCTGTAATAATTGCAAAGGAAGAGAATTACTCATAAATATCTTGAGGTCAGGGATAATAGGAACATTTTCATGCAATTTTGTAATTTCTGAACTTGATTTGCATCAACCAATAAGCATCCTTGTTAAAGCCATTATGGCACTTCATCAACTAATATATCCTGTTATTGGTGATGCGAGAGTATTGTCTGAATGGCTAATTAGGAAATAAATGACAACGATTATGAGTAGGCGATCACAAAACTTTGTCAGAACAGATAATTGTGAGTATGCAATCACAGGATGTGATTTAAATTGCATGAAACTTGTATGTGATCACCGAATGTGATAATGATCTTCAAGGTGTGCTATTGGCTAAAAGCTGTCATGTGATTGATTATGCATGTTTCCTCTGTTTCTCCAGTGATGTTATTGAAACTTTCTTAAGAAATGTAATCCTGTATATCTACATAAATACATAACTTTCAATAATGTATGCGATTGGTGAATTAATTTACATTGGTAAACTTTTAATGTTTATCCACTTTAATTGTTTATTGAGAACACAAAGCCAATGATTGTAAACAGCATGGATTCGTTATTTTGAATTTTATTAATTGGTTACATAACCAATTAAAATGTGTGAACGAATTGTATGAAATAATAAATAGTTGATCTATTGGTTACCACTGACAAATTTTCCACCAATAGATCAATTATTTTATAGATGTTTCTTTTTTTTTTTTACCACATTTAAGATGCCTTTTTAAGCATAGTGCATTTTAATATATTCATGTTTTTGTTCTATGCTGTAAGCTTAGTATGTTGTGGTTAATGTACCCTTAATAATGTTACTGTATTGCATCTAAAAAGAAAGAAAACAATTGAAGATTGATTAAAACAACAATAGAAAACATGTACATTAGGGTATTTTACAGTTTTGTTTTTTTCTTTGAATAAAACAGGTGCAGTCTGATAAATGTGATTGAATATATGAATTTTCCCGTTTTTCCAGCATTTCAAAAAGCCACCCCTACTCACATGAAATTAACCCCCAACTGGTGATAAAGATTACGCAGTACCTTAGCAAAAACGTGTCCTAATGAAAAATCCAGGGGTGTACACACCATTTGGGCTCAAAGCTCAATTGGTAGGCTATCCAAACAATAATCGGGAAGGTCTTGGGTTCGAATTCCAATGGGGAAAATGTTTTTCTAAAAAAATTATTAGCATTTTTAAATATACTGTTAAAAAAGTTAACAAAAATCAATATTTAAATTGATTTCTTTCATAGATTTCAATTGAAAATTAAAAGAATTTTTTGTTTTGGCAGATGTATAGTGAAGCTCTACTTGTATTCTTCATATAGATCCTGAAATTGACTAGTACTGTAGTAGTCAGTTTATGGATTTTAATGGTAAAATCTATAATAGCACTATATTAAAGGTATATTTCGTATCTCTTCTGAAGCTGTGCTACATACAATCTTGCCAATCAACCAAGGTGACCTATACAATATAAATGCCCCTTACGTTATGCTACCTTAAATATTCTGCTAGCTGAAAACGGTTATTGGTTCATTAAGTGGTTTTTGGGAGAAATTAGCACATTTTCACACTGATCTTTTTTCAAATCTCCTGACGTTGATCTACAGTATTGTTGGATTTATTCGTATGTGCGGCCACCAGCACGTATACCTTGATATGAGACACACGATTTTGTTGTTCCGAATTTTGTAAGGATGCGTATACAATTTTTGAGTATTGTAAAAGCAGAGAGTATGTGAAGTGGTGACGGCTTGCAAACATGTATCCAGGATGGTACGATCAGTGGACCCTGGATCCCCATCGTCAAACGGCACAAATACGTTGGACTAAAAATATAATTTGCCTATCTAAAACGTTATTGTTATGGCCATTTTCTAATAAGCCATGAAGACAATTCTGCCCATGAACACCTTTTGATAAGTGTAAAAAAAGTGTTGTCTTGATCAGCCCCACTTTCGGACATCTCTGGATCCACCGCTGGTCGGCCCTCTGGTTTGGATCCCGCTGCTGGTATCTTCAGCAAATTTCTTGAGACCCACTAATGGGTAAGGTTGGTGTATATGCAATCCCAAATAGAAAAGGAGTCCATATTTTTAAGAGTCAAAAAATGTATTTTCTGTCAGAACCCCTTAGACACTGAATGACCTATAGTACCAATACAGCTGGGTCTTCATCTTTTTTTGCACACCTAAAAACTCCCCCCCACCCCCCAATACACTTAATACCAATTCTGGCTACAGCTCAGAGCTACTGTATGTACTGTATTTTTTTAGATTTTACCACACATCGTCTTTCAACAAAACAAATACAGTTTTGATATTCTTATAGTATAAAATGAGATATTTATTATTCTACACACACATTTTTACATGTCTCTACAATGAAAATTCCCATGTGTAAGTACTGTATGTCATTACACACATTCTATAGAACTGTATATACAATATATTATATTGTACACCGTATCACAAAGTAATATAGTATATAATTATATGTATAGATATTGTACATTACATACATGTATGTAAATGTACTGCATATTGTACAATACATATGCATTATACATAATCATATTATAAACATATGTTTAACATATTTTACACAAACATGTTTATATAATACATATTCCCATATATATAGGTCTCTGTGTATTTATTTAATTCAGATATAACAACTGATACCGTTTGCCTTTATGATGAATAATACAATGTAACCGAACTATTCAAGCCATCTATTCTAACATCGCATGGCTCGAATAGATTGTTAATTAAAAATCAATTTCAATCAGCATTTAGATTGCTAATTAACTATTGCTCCGGTGTAGCAGCACGCCTCAAATCTGAGCATGACCTTTGACCTACATAATAAACGAAACATAATAAACGAAACATAAATACACAAACATAATATTTCATAACTTCCATCATAATATTCCAGTTAAATCTCCCCTTATAATAGCCGACACTGACAAATTTCTTTATGCAACAATCAAAAGGGTTTTTAGATCCCATTGATTATGAGAATGTTGGTCTTCATGCATATGGAGATAATTTACTAATGCATATTCAGAAATTCTACCAAGATATTTTCAATAATCATGAAATTGCTAAAATAAAACTACACACGTACATTTTATAAAGCACTTTCTTCAACATGTTGATGTATTATATTTAATTCGCTAACCTTTCAAAGGTACAGTAATTAAATAATATAAAATTATAGCAAAGATAAGAATAGTAGGTGGGAATGCATTTATGTATATACACCACGCAATGAATATAATAGTAAATAAAAGTACATTAGGAAGAAAATTTGAGAAACAGGTTCATTTAAAAAAATAGCAACATTAACAACAATCATTGAATACCAACCCAAAAGGTAAAATATCTCAAATTTTAATTTCAAGTATACAAATTTCAGGTTATATTTCCATCAGTCCCAATAAAAATCCTGAAATCCCACATATTATGTAATGATATGTACTTGCTCAGGTTTTATAGCTTGATTTTGAACTACAGTCTGCGTAGCACAATTTGTGCCATATAGCAGTACTGTATACCATATTCTCCAAAAAAACAAAACTAATAAAAACTAATTTTTACAGAGAGATTCAATACACAGATAAGTTATAATATTGAAACATAAAACATGAATCTATTGCACATTTTAAGAGACAAAAACACTTGGAAGGGATTAGGCTCAGGATTTTAAATACAATAAGATTGTGCACTTCAAAGTATATACTTTATAGGTCTAGTACAGTATATATGTATATATAATGCAACATGCACCTGGAAAAATATACACAAATAAAATATTCATTGTTACACACCATTATAATATCAACCATAATAGCAGAAAAATAACAAGTTGTATTTTAAATGTGTAATTTAAAATATAAGTACAGAATTATATTTACTATACTGCTATTACCTAAAAAAAATTTAATGACCACATGATATTAACTTTGGTATGGAGACACATCTCCATCAGATATATAAAAATTATCATAATAATAAATGTTTGGGATTTTAAACGTGGACCCCAACACTTGCTGTCTTTTCCATCGATGCTACAAGGTCAAGCTGGTAGACAATGGGGTTTCCCCCCAGCTATTCATATCATTAGGAAGAAAAAAAATGATTTAATTAAATACAATACTTTCTGCATTTGGATATCTATATATACTACAGTATCTATTTATGTTTCTTGACAGAGAAAAATATTGCTAATATAATCACAGCCACCACGACAAGTCCAAGAAAAATCATCAGAAAACGATTTTGAATAATTCTGAAAAGAAAATAATATTTTGTTAAAAAAATTAATCACTCAATGTTTGTGTGAAAATATAAATATTGAAATAACTAGGAGCGAAGATTAAATGTAACGTCTTTATTTATATATTTTTATCAAAATCCAAAGTTCTTCATTAACATAATCAGGGTCAACTAAGGTTGAAATTTAATAGCATGCCACTGAGGTCTGATATTTTCATTACAGAATTATACTGTATTTGCCGCCTTAGCATATAATTACGGTCTTGTCATTTTTGCCTAACAATGAGGTCTTGCCTTCTTAGCATAGCATTAACATATTACTGTATAGAATTGAGGTGTTCTCTTAACATAGCACTTAGGTCTTGCCATCTTTACATACAATTAAGGTCTTACCGTCGTAACATAGTATTAAGTACCCTTGAACTTTGACCGATAGTAGAATCCATATCTCTTAACTGTAATTAAATAAAAAAGAAAATGGTTGAAACATTGTATAAGAAATGTTTACATTTCATCAATTTTTTTATAATTATATTTTCAATTACTGATAATCAACTAGAAAAGGCTACATTTTAAATCAATATACGCATAATACAACATAGCTAGTAAATGTAATGAAGAACAGTAATGTTGTGATGATAAAGATTTGCGAGCCCTTTACAAGATGAACAACGTAAAACAATTAATAACTCTATGAGATTTGACATAGTCACATACAAAGATGATCATCATTAACAAACACAGCCTTAATTATTTAACATATTATTTTGCTGGATTAGGCCAGAGGCACACCTACTGTAGATAGCTTGTAAACTGGTTCTGATGCCATGTATATAAGAACACAAACATCAATATTAAAACATCAAATAGTCCACAAAAGAAAAAATATATTGTAGTAGATCACAATATTGTCAGTATACTGAATAACCTGGTCCTATATCCTCCAGCCAATCATGACGACTACTAATGTACACAATGGTATTATCCTGTATTTTACTATACCTTCTACAAGCCTAAGAAATACTTGAGTTTTTAAATTGACTAATATTGGCTTTATAACAATAATACAATTTGCTAACCCTTTGTCGAGAGTTGTTAATTTTTTCCCTATCTCTGTGTAAATTGTCTAAAATATCTTGACCAATTTGTTCTGCAAAACAAAAATATAAAATAAAAGCATTATTTCTGGTTAAGATGATTCAATATGATGATAAAGGACTAATGGCCATATCTAATACCTTTACATATTATAAAATTAAACAAATAAAACTAATAGTGGAATATTAATATCTATTTGAGAAACAGGTGTTAGAATATAAGCAATGTTATGAGAGTAAACAGAGAAATAATACTATACTGTATGTTGTTTTCACTGACAACCTAAATATGGCAGAATTGGTGGATTACACATAGCATTTGAGCTATATTTAGATATCAAACATATCCTGCAGTTTGAGTAATTTAGCCAAGGAGAATTATAAGTAGGAGAAACAAATAGAAAAACCTAATGATATTATGCGTTGCCGTATAGTCATTTTAATCAAGATAAGTGGATGAATATACACAGCAACCTCATACTGATAAATATTTCTTTTATTAAATTCTATTGGTGTTTGTTGAGTAATTAGGGAATAGCGGCTGGGCTGTACCATTGCTGCTAGTAGTGAATTGGGCAGTAAACCTGAGGGGCATAAGATCTCCATGGTCCACTGTACACATAGTGCCTTCCACATATCTTAACTGCTGGTCAGTGATCATGCATTTTTATAGCACAACAATACAAACTGTCTTGAGGCGCTTTTTAACCACTAAGAAACTAAAATTTAATTGATGATCAGGCGCAAATCCGAAGTGGAGGAGGAAGGTGCACACCCCCGATTTTGAAATATGACATGTGACAGGTTGGTATGTAAGCAAACTAATTAATGATCTTACCCGTTTCTACAGTCATTCTATACCCTGCTTCTAATTTTCGACCCGACCTTTCTAACCTCTCTGTATTGTCTAGTAATCTTGTTCTCTGTGGATGAGATGCACTGACGTCAACTTATGTAACTTATATAGATGATTATTTATAATTATATCCTTTAGATCATGATCATGTAGTCTACAGTTTACATAAAATATTAAAAATCATGAAGAAGATTAGGATGATGGCGATACCATTGACAATTGTGATGATGAATATGATGATGAAGATGATGATGATGATAATGATGACAATAATGGTGATGATGACAAAGATGATGGTGGTATTGATGATAGCAATACTGTTGTAAATGTTGATAGAAAGATGATAATAATGACTGTAGTTAACTTGTTAAAGCTTTCCATTATGCCCATATCTAGCAATGTAATCAAGCACTCACTTGATCTTCTGAACTTTGTACATCTTCCAAGCCAAATAATTCATCCCTTCCAGTTTCTAAATCAGTAAATGCTATCTTGGACCTCCTCTGATTAAAAACAATTAAAAAAAATATAACAATGAATAAAATATTTAACACAGATTTCAAAATAATCATATTTTATAATATATTAATCAACATTATTAAATACTATAATGAAATGCTTCCTAATCTAAGTTACCATCAACAATAACAGTAAAGACTGCTTCTGCTATGTACACACAAAGTTGATTGTATTCTGCTATACAATTTAATGACCAATAGTGTTTGCAGAGTATCAATTTACTGCTTTTCCAGATATGTGTATATACTGTTAGGACAAGTGGCATATTGTCTAGATAATGTTTGTAATAGTAACAATTAAAAACACAAAACAGTACATAGACTAAGATAATTGTAAATATCTGTGTCCTAATATGATTTTCCTCAGAATGTGTAGGGTCCAGCAAAATACTTGAAAACATCTGGATAACCAAAACACATGTAGTCCATAGTTCAGTCTGCATAGATTTGATTACTGAACAAACAAGAATATAAAAACACTTTATATTTAAACATCTGTATAGTGAGCTCATAGACATCTACCAGATCCCTTGCAAGGCATTAGTTCAGTCTGGTGGAGTTAGGGTTATGGATCGGGTAGATAGACACCTACCAGATCCTTTTCAAGGCGTGTTAGTTCAGTCTGGTAGCTTTTGACACGTGTACTGTACTTCTGGCGATCCTTGGCAGGAATACCCCGTACTTCAAGGTCCATTTGCTCAAGCTAATCAAAAGAAATTGAACACTTAGTTATGTAATTTATTATATATTAATAAAACAAATATATAAAATGCAAATAACATCACTCAACTGATGTAAAAGTCAAAGGTGCTGTGCATTTTGGATGTTGTAATTCTAGCCTGTAAAATTTTCTTAAAATTCATTAGCTTTCAACTAAAAATTAGAACTATAAAATATTTTTATCGCAAATTAACAAATTAATAATGTTGTCCTATATTCTTTACATATACACACAAATTGGCTGACAAATTTGATATAAATTTTATATTTAAATGTCAGAAAAAATCAGTAATACAAATACAAATATACTCCTAATATATTTCCTCCATGGTATACTAACTGTAATGTACCTTAAAGCTGTAAGTCCACCTTAATATATTTCCTCCATGGTCCACCATATTGATATGGTCAGGGAGAGGGTTTCTATGTGGCACCCTGGGTCAGACTATTCTATTTTATTTGAAGGAGTGGTGTTCTGTTTTGGGAAATAGTATATAAATAATGTTTCATTTTGTAGACAATTTATTTATTTACTTACTAATTCTTGTGCCTCATCCATCTGTTTTTCAGCTGTATTTACCAGAATCTTCTTTTCATCTTTAAAAACAAGCATATTACTGTATTTATTTATTTATTTATTTATTTTAATGTATCCAATTCAAACTGAAGCATCATACATTCAATTAAATGGTAATTATTCGTATTCAAGAGCTAATCAAATCAAACAATAAGATTCAATATTTAATCACTTAGGTAAAACTTTTCTATATTTTGTTATTCTGAAATCTTTAATCTTTTCACGGCAGAAGCCAGAAATAGGAAAGTATAATACATACTCCAAGTATTGAAATACATGCCATCGTGTTGGGATTCAATATTTCGACATTAATTATGTCATCATCAGGAATGAAAAAATTATCCATATTAGCAAGCTTATATGCACTAGTACCAAAAGTGTTTAACCAATCAAAACATTACCTCTAGTAGGTGACATAGCTGTGATTTAAACATTCTTACTCTAATGATCAAAGATACCTACAAAAACAAAGAAAGCTCTTTTGAAGCTCTGAGCCCATTGTTAAGCAAAGGGTGTAGTGTACGTATAGCGAACGCTTCTTTAAACAATAGGATAGACCAGTTTCGGGAGCTGTCAATAATGTTAGTGCTAGAAAATATTAAACCTAATTTATTACTTACATTACAGACGACATTATCATTTTCAAGTATACCCTGCAATCCTAAAACATATTGGAATGCCTCACAGTTTTTAACATGATCAAATATAACACTATCAGATCGTGAAGAATGTTCTTTAAGTCTAGTTATTAAGCACCTATCTGTCTTACCAATATAATCACTATTGCAGCCTGGACATTTAAAATGATAGACAACAGAACTTCTGTACTCCTTAGGGGTTTGATCCTTAGTAGATTTAAAATGAGAAACATTTTTATACTACCATAAAGTTATGAATTTTACCTCCTTCAGTAAGTGTTTCTTTACCTTATTTAAACATCTACGTAAAATGAACTCACCTGGTTTTACTAGATAAGGCAATCTAACCCAAATCTTAATCAAGCTATCATCAGTAGGCCTATGTATACATTTAGGTTCATTTAATTTCTTAAGTACATTATTAACAACTTTTAAAGGGTACCCATTCCAAGACATAAACTTCCTGATGTTACTAAGCTCTGTTTGAAGTTTATAAGGAGTACACAATCTGTGGGCTCTAGAAATAGGTGGTGATGTTGGGGGTTTCAATACACACCTAATAACAGCTCCAAAACCAAAATGACTCTAGTGACTAGTCCTAGCCTAGTTTGTCTACACTGCTTCTTCTTCTACAATACTCTGCATAATCCAAAGGTTTGGATTTTCCGCAGGTCTTATATAAAGAGGGTGTGTGCAGATCACCAAACGACAAACGGACATCATAAAAAGTGGACTTTATTTGGTGAAGAAAAACGAAAAAGTGCTAGAAAAGTGCAAATAAAGAGGGCCCTGAAAATCCAAATCATGGTACAGGCAGTTGTTTACTCAAGCCGAGTGCATTGCCTCTTGTCTACAGTCACTGTCAGTCTAGCCTGCTGTGCAAGTTTAGCGGCCTAGAGAGGTCCTGCCTAGGTTCTTCTAGGCCTACTACTACTAGGCCTAGTAACTACTACAGTACTCTCTAGGAGTCTAGCCAGGCCTACTAGGCCTACCCATCCATGGAGGTATCTAGCTAGGGCCTAGCCTAGGCCTAGACCTTGATGACGTACTGTATTGTATATCCTAAAAAATACATACTTCCATGTTTTTTCGGTATATCATTTATTTTGCTTGTTATGTCCGCCGAAAGACTGGCAAATTGATGTTCAAACTCCTCCATTGCCGTCATGTCAGACATCATTTTTTCCACTGTATGGAGAACAACCTGAACAAAAGCAGCACTGCAGCAGCAAAACAGAGAAGAAGACACCGTGCCGAGCAGCAATGACGTCACCTTTTTGGGCAACCAGTGCATGGTGGCAGCAGACGTATTTGGTAATACCAAAGATCTTTATAAACGTGTTTTGGTAATACCACAATACAGTACCAAATACGTCTCCTGTTTTCCTGTTTTCTCCTGTTGTTGAGATGATACTGCACTTTAACACAACGCCAGTCAAAGATCTACAACACAAGGAGTCTGAATAAAGAAAGCTCCAAATGCACATGGTGAATTGCGAAACACCAGAACAAAAGCGAAGAGAATCGCAAAGTATCTTAGACATACAATCACTAAAAATAGACTGCCAGGGGGAGCATGTGTCACTACTGCCTAATTTTATAGAAACGATGATTTTGGAAAATGATTAATGTTTCAATGTAGTAAGGGGTGTTGATATTATACTGTCATATATAATTGCCTATTCATTGTATACATTACAGTAATACAGTACCATGGTATTCCTGTTTACACAGTGAAAGCGGATATCCTTATCCTGATACCAGGACAACTGTTCCTGTTACCACACAAGATATCCACCTTGGTGCCCTTGCGAGAAAATTTGGGGGCCCTTGCATAGCCTATCAGTAAAATAGACAATGATAGAAGAGGAAAAGAGGGAAGAAAAGAAAGTAGAGGAAAAGAGGAGAGCACATTAGTAGGTGCCTTCAAAACAAAAGAATTAATTTTAGATGTAATAGACCTATCATGTATTTACAGGCTGCCATGTTTTAGGGCGGAGGCAAATTCTAGGATGTGTGTGGATGCCGCAACTGGCCGGGGCCCCATCATTTTTTTTTAAATTAAAAGAAAATGTACCATATTGCCAAAAACGTCGTATTAGAGTGCTAGTAAGCCGGGGGGCCCACCATGGCCTCTCCGGGGCTTAGGCCTATTTGGACTTTAAACAGGCCTATTTAAAATGACGATAACGATCAAAGATGAAAAGCTAAAAAGCAATTTTTATATAGAAAAATAGAAGAAAGTACGGAGCCCCTAAAGGGACATGGTTAAAGAAAATATTAAACTATTTCGAGGGAACGAAATAATATTTCGAGGGAACGAAATAATATTTCGAGGGAACGAAATAATATTTCGGGAGTACGAAATTTTGAGGGAACGAAATGATTTCGCTCCGTCGAAATAATATTTCGTTCCCTCGAAATATTATTTCGTTTCCTCGAAATAATTTAATATTTTTTCTAACCATGTCCCTTTAGGGGCTCCGTATGATTCCATTTCATTTATATTGTTCATTTATGAAAAACACACAAATGTCCCGCCCCCACCCCAGGAGTATTAGTAACCATATTTGCAATTATGCTCAACAAGATTTTCATATCACATTAATGGATACTCTATAATAGATTTACTGTACATCAGCTGCATTATATAAGGTCTATGACGTTTTTCTGGAATAATAAATATATAGCTTTATTATACTGTACGAAATCTTTTGTCACTGGAAAATAGAGTATATCCTCCCGTTTCGAGACCCCTTCCAAGACCATTCAAGATCACTTTTGAATTTACTGATGTGCCGTACCAACTGACAATAAGCTCAACCCCTATAATTGGAAACCAAACCCCGAGACAAACTCACATTTTCAGGTCCCAAAGTTAGCCTCGAATTATTAGAGGGCAGAAATGTAAAATGCAGTATAGAACTCAATAATTAATTCAGTGGCGGCGCCAGGATTTCCCCCACGGGGGTCCAAGGTCCCCGACCGGGGGGGGGGGGCTGATATCCCCGGCGAGAAAAAAGTGGTTCGGGTGTCTCTAAAAACCTTTCCAAGGTGGTCCAGGGGACGTATCGACACCCCCCCCTCCCCGAAAATATGACAATTTAAGGGTTTCAAAGGCTTATTTAATCGATCTTAGAGTCAATAAATATGTACAAAATACATATAGGCCTATTTTTTTTTTATCTCCCCGACGGATTGTGGTTTTCTCCCCGACGGTGGGGGAGAGGCCTCCCCGACAGGGGGGGGGGCTGTAGCCCTGCCTATCCCCCCCCCCCCGTAGCGCCGCCACTGAATTAATTTCGTAAATGAGAAACGATACACAAAAATTACGTAATGTTGCTGGTATCTTCTTCTATAGGGGGCGCCATAAATTATTCCGTCATAGAGCAATCAACATGAATAAGGAGCAAAGTGAAATTTGCTTACAAAGATCTAAAAATTACATTAAAGATGGTGAATATGAACGAGCAAGAAGATTCCTCCTTAAAGCTGAAAAGCTCTATGAATCAGATGAGGCGAAACGTGAGTTATACTATCATAATTTTACCGTAGATATTCAAGGTACAATTCTCCGAGTCTAGGCCCACTATTTTGTTCCAGGCCCTGTGTGTACTGTACTACTGTATGTCGGTCTGGTCTAGGTTAGGCCCTTGAAACGTGCCAACTAGGTTGGTGGTGACTTCAGTGTAAGACAGAGCAAGATCCACGCTTGCTTAGGCGTAAGGTCTATTTTTTTAAAATATCGGCCTACTAAAATAGACCATCACCGCAGCTCAGAAAAAGGGGATGAGTAAAGATATCGGTCAAGACATTTGCTAACACAACACACACAGAGAGAGAGATAGAGATAGATTTTTATTTTCATTGGATTTGATTTCGCCATTGCTTCATTTGTTATATTTGCTTGTCTTGTTGAGTTAACTTGTGACTGTTTTTGCCGTGGTTTGTGTACAGTATATGTATGTATGTGTGTAATGTGCGGTGCTAGCGCTTTGTACCAGCAAAGAAAAGCGCTATACAAGAGAAATCACCATAGGCTATGATAGGTATACTGTACTAGGCCCTAGTGCAATTGCTGACAGTGACAGATGATTTGGATAAGCTTAGCAGACTAGACAAAATTAGATCCATCCAACCTCCTTAGGCTTAAGCAAACTTGGCTAGTGATGATGACTGGTTCATTCCCCTGTGGGGCGGACGATCGGCAAGAAATTATTCGGTGATTGGTGCCTTAGCTGTCAGACCTAATGATCGGTTCAATTTTTAGGACAATTTGGTAGTGCAGTTTTTTAAGTTCGTGAAGGTCGTCTTCCATTCGATTCTGAGACTGCTCTGACTGACAGACAGTATATCCTTTCTTTACTTCCTTTACATCATTTGATATTACACAGTGTAACAATAAACCTATGTATTTTGTAACTTTCCGGTACGGTATATATTCGAACAGTACTATTTGAATGCCCTACAGTATGTTTTAAAACAATAATTTTGAGACCTGCTCAGCAGAGGCTAATCATATGTCCATGAAGCCTATCACGTTTCATTCAATATTTTGATCCACTTTGTTTAGCTTTTAAAAAGTCAGGATGTAGTGTCTACCTAAAAACTGGAGGAAACCTCTAACATTATTTTAAAAGATGAATACCTTACAAAAGGAAAAGAATCAAATATAACATTATACTACTAAAACCCTTTGATTGATTACCAGCCAAAGAGTCCATGCAATAAAGAATTTTTTAACTGGCCATTAATTAACAATCATGATTTTTTTTTCTCATGGGCAGACATGGCAAATGTGTCAATATTTTTGAAAATAAATTATAATAAAACAATGATAATAAGATTAGTAAAATTTTTGAATTTACGATAACAGGTGATAGACAAAATAATGGACAACAAATCACCAGTCTCTCAATTCAATTATAATTGCTACATATAAAAATCATTATTAAACGCCCAAAACAATACAATATGGAGGGAACAAGAATATCATCATAATTAGGAAGATATACAACAGTCACCATCACTCCTGATGATGACATAATTAATGTTGAAATATTGGATCCCAAGATGATGGCATGCATCTCAATACTTGGAGTATGTATTATACTTTCGTATATACAATACTGTTGAAGCAGAACACAATCCTTCTGAGTCAGTCTGAATATGAAAAACATGCAGTGTGATAAAGCAACCTAACAACGATTGATGTGTCTATACATACATTGCCTGCTGTAACTAGGCTTAGTGACTACTTAAAAAAATAAAAAAATTAAACACCTATAGCAGGATGGCCCCAACAAACCTTTGCTAACTTTTATACTGTTATCACTATTTATTTGAGATTCCGACCAGCAATTTAGTAGAAAGAAGCATTTTATCGGTATGCACGGTTAAATAATGTGTGTGATATCTCTGCCGGCAACTGCAAAACATACTGTACACTTTGCTACTGGCAGTTTGATGATGTCATAATTTATGTTAGCCAATCAGAGAAACAAACCAGCAAAATATCGATATTGCATATTGCCGGTCACTGGCATAATAAACACTTCCTTATAATTATGCCCTAATCTGTTTTTGTAATAAATTGTATTTTGTCTCTCTTCTTGGACTGGTGAGTTAATTTCAGATATCAAAATAGTAGGTACTGTTTGGTAAACCATTAGTTTTAATAATTAATGTCATACAGTAACTGACAATCATATCATCATCCGTCAGTAGCATACTCGTCATCTCACTTCTCATGAATGATAAACTACTGTACAGTACTATATTCTATTTTTGTTTATCCACAAACAGTATTAAATATACAGTATTATAGAGCATAATGTAAAGGCCTGTATCTGTATATAATTTAAATAATACAATTTCCAATTGTACCAATCATTATTTGTACACTGTGTTTCTTGTTTAACGATGGTCTGGAAAAAGAGTCATGCCCCCCCCCCCCACACTTGCACCTTTTCTCAGTTGTCTCGCACCATGTGGACATAAATCTAGATACCTAACATGTTGAGTTTACAAAGTGATAATTAGGTCTGATCTCTGATTGGCCAATACACAAAATAGCATTTTGTTTTATTTAAATTGGGCAGCATTGATAATTAGCCAATCAAAGAATTGCTAAAATATTTCACAATTATACCTGCCTATAAATTATTAATGAAATAAATTAATCTGATTTAACAGTTTTGCTGGCACAACTCGATGAACTAATACGGAGGGCTGAAGAAAATGCACAAAGTAAAAACACCACAGAAACGGCAGGAGAAACGCCGACAAGTGAAAACAACACACAAGATTCAAATACTAGGCAAAGACAAAGGATGTTCTCAGGTGATAAGAAATATACAAAAGAACAAGTAGAGGCAGTGAACAGGTAAGTTATTTATTTTAGCACTGCGTCTTAGGTCATTTAACTAAACTGGCGATAGCCACTGCATGTGCGCTGAACTGTGAAGATCACTAGGTCCCTGGATCAATTCCAATCGCTGCTCCCCTTGTATTTCACTTTGAGGGCAGAAATTCAAGTTACGATAGTGCACTGTATTTCCGTTGGTCCTGTGTGTATTATGACCCATTTGCACATTAAAGAACGCAGTACACTTTTTGGAAAAGAGTAGGGGATTGTCTTCTGGTGTACTGCCCAATTCCCCACACCAAAAATACTCCTATTGTATCCCTATCAGTACTGTACTTATTTTCAATGAATGGATATTGTTATAATGTGTATAGTTGTTAGCTTTTGAAAGAGTTGCTTTAGCAAATTTCTACAGCTTAGCTACTACACACAAGGTTTTCTGCTTAACATTTGTCAAGATACACAATGGATACCGCTGTACTGTAGTTAAGTGAAAGTCCAGGGAGTTACTGTGTTTATGCAGTCTATCCATATACACATCCTTAAAATTTGAAAGCAAAACTAGGGAAGAAAAACCTTAGAAAGACATCAGAATGTTCTGAGAAGCTCGGTTTTCTTTTGTGATGGACTGCGCTGTCCTCTGTCACTGTTCGGTAAAATGTATTGTATCTTAAAATCCAAGTGCGAAACGTGGTATTTTTTATCTTCGTCAAAGTCAGTATTATGAGAAATCGCGTAAACACATTTTCGAGATTTGGTTAAATTGGTTATGTCTTGTGAATTCATACTAACACTCCATGATAGTATTACAGTGATTGTATTTTTCTTGTTTTGAAGGTTAAAAAAATGTAGCAATTTTTATGAGATACTTGGAGTAGAAAAAAATGCAGAAGAAATGGAAATCAAGAAAGCGTATCGAAAATTAGCATTACAGTTTCATCCTGATAAAAACCATGCACCTGGTGCCAGTGAAGCATTTAAAGGTATACAAACACATGTAGCAGCATTTTTATAATTGATTTAATTGTTTAATTTTTAATGAAGTATTTATAATTGCACAACAGTGTTATAGTTATGTGATGCCATTTAACAGAAAACATGGTTTTGATTGACAGCAAGGTGTAGGACATAATGACTTTTTTTTAAAAGGGAAAACGCCCAAAACAAGACTAACAGCCACTCTAGGTAATGGGCTAGAAATCAAACACACGTGGGCGCAAATGAAAAGAATTTGCATTCCTCTTGTGGCGAGACGAGTGGCCAAGCGGTAAGGCATGGGTGCCGCTAATTAAATCTTCAACCTCGGCGCTGGTTCCAGCCGCTCCTCATTCAGGGTTTGATTGCTAGAATCAAGTCTTCTCAGATAAGGACTTAAAATGGAGGTTGCATCTTTCGGAAGAGTATGGGGTTACCCCAATGCTATGGTTAATTTCAGCCCCTGTTGTGGAATGATTTGAACACGTAGCTACTATAAGCACCTCTTTACGGCCGCTAGGTAGTCACGGACCACGTCCATACGCAATTCAGCACAATGACGCTGCAAGTTATGGGTTATTCTCCTACTTTTACGTTTACCTCTTAAATAGAAGGAGATCATAAACTTGAGGAAAATAATCAGTCATGTAAATGCTATTTGCATATGCAGATGTTTTTGTGGTCATCTGTATTTTTGGATGTAATTTGCATCAAATGTATGTGCAGAGAACACAGAGCTGTCACAGACGTGTGAATCCACTAAATGTGATTAACGATATGGTAACAAGTATAACATTTTTAATGTTAGACTGTTTCTATTTTATTTACTAGGAACATTGGCAAATGATTCCCTGTACCAAACTTAATAATCACTGCCTCTTAGTCTTACAGTTAGCAATCCTTTTCACAAGACAAACATAATATAATTCTCTGCCTTAATTAAGTCTCACCAACCATGAATTGATTACTGTTGTACAGTAGATATGCACCATTTATGGAACATTTACCAGGAATCTGAGTATAGCACCTCCATCAGCATTTAAAAGACTGGAGTAATAATATGCAGCACATAGAGTAGAAAACCTGTTGTATGATATTAAATTAGTAGTTATTATTATATAGAAATATATTAATGATATTGATTTATTCATAAGTATACCATTTTAAATGAGTTTCTTTTTTTTCTAGGAATGCACTTCCTTACATTTTTCAAGCATAATTGATTAGTCCACGGTTGGCTGTTGCTAATAAATTCACATAAATAGAACAAAATTTCACTCTGAGTCTGCCAACAGTTTCTCTTCATGTTGTATACTGCCCTCTGTATTGTATGCTTAACTTGCTTTTACTTATTCAAGATTTGATACACGTTTTCTTTTTCTGTATCCTCAGCAATTGGTAAAGCATTTAATGTTCTCCGGGATCCAGAGAAACGAAAAAGATATGACGTGCATGGCGATGAGTCACAGCAATCTACAAGAACACGCCGCTCACATAATGGATTTTACTACGATGCAAGGGGGTTTGATGGTAAGTGTGCATTATAAAATTAATCGGAAATTGAACCTTTAATTTCTGTTAATGCCAGTTACAATACATTTCAATAAATGCAGAGATCTTGGAATGACCTGGCCCTCTAGTCATGAGGTCAATTTTTTTTTTTTTTTGTGGTGGTCTAGTTCGATTCCTACCCAAATCGTTTGCGATTTTCTTTTCTTTTACAAGTATTTCGGGACATAATGAGTATTCAGTATGATAAAACAATTAATATTAAATTGACATAAATTTGATGATTTTGTTTTTACATGAGCTGTACGTTGGGGTTGTGTTTTTTTACCATCACAGTCTTATTATTGTCTTATTATTTAGACCTACTGTATTGTCTTGTATTATTATATTGTCTTATTAAATTATACTGTCTTATTATTTTGCAGATGATTTTTCACCAGATGATTTGTTCAATATGTTTTTTGGGGGAGGTTTTCCAAATGGCAATGTACGAGTGTATTCCAATGGTAGACATTATGAACGTCATACAAGGCGAAATGGTCAATCAGGTGTAAGTTATTCATAATTTGGATTATACAAAATTTGTTCAAATGAAATTATATATTTGTAAAATAAAAATATAAAGGGATTCATGAAGAAAACTATTGATTCTGTTGTGATAATATCATTGTCATTATTATGTAATTTACTACCAAAGCAGTGATTAAAAAATTGTTAAAATTACACTACTATTGATCAATATTATTTTAAAGTATGTATTGCATACTTAGGAAAGTGAAACACTATCAGGGGTTCTCCACAGAATCAACAAAGTTGAAACAGGTTGCAGATGTCAAATCAATCAAATAATAAATACAAGTAATCACATTATTTGTATTATGTCCCAGGCTTAATTTCCATTCTGATGAATGTAAATCAAATGTATACTTTATGTGAGCAAAAATTCAGTAATGTACCAAGTCATGTGATAGATAATGCTGCTCCTAAAAATGTCTTTTGTGTCATAGGATAATGTAAGTGTGTAGAAAACAAAAAATATTGTAATTTTATATGCAGTGCTAATGTTGAACATGTTCTTCCTACACAGACACAGTATGGTATTATCACACAAGTTTTACCAATTCTGGTGTTAGTTTTTATGTCTTTGTTATCTGCCAACTTTCTCAATGACAGCCCATATAGTCTATCAAGGCATGGGTAAGCAAAATTAATTTTATTTTCTAATATTAAATAGTTGCTATATTTTTATGTTGCTACTGCTGTTGTTATTAGTAATTACAACCTCATCTTTATCATTATTTTCATCATTGTTATTGCTGACAATGCTGAAAATTATTAAATTTCACTTTGTAATTATTGGTGTCTGACTTCAAGTATTCCATTTGATATGAGACACAGAAAGAAAAGGACTATTACTGTTATTTCTATTGCTCTGTTAAAAATATGATACATTTATTGTAGAAGATTCCAAATAAAATTACATTGTACAGTATTTACAATTATACATATATTTACTATTCATGTTGTACAGTAAGTACCACTGCACTTAGGCATATGGCTCTCTCGTTAAGTTGAAGACAAATTTGTGGTCCAGAATCGGAGATAACGTGAATTCAATATGTCTACCAGTGCTTTCTTTCCTCTACATTTCTGAAATTGATTTGCCATTTTTTTAAATATTCTGATTATACAGAAATAGTGACCTACTTGCATATACAATGAGTTAAGATTAATATTTAAAAAAAAGTGATAATTATTATATGGTTATTCCACATATATTCTGATTTTTCTCTTTCAGTCCATACACAATGAGACGTAAGACAGGGAATTTGGATGTTATTTACTATGTTAAGGTTAGTAAGAAAAGTTGAAATTATAAAATCAGTTTTAATTAGTATGATTAACCCTTTGAACCCGGAAGGCCGGAAAATGGCCGCGTGCTTACACTGCAATAACCCGAAAGGCCGGTATACCGGCTTTGCAATCAGGTGAGTAATATGACATAATTTTGTGACATCATCAATCCCAAGTCGTTCTGACAGCCTCGTACGTGTTGATTTAAAAAAAAAAACAAATTTATATTGAATAATTTGACAATAAATGCCAACGATGCTTTACGATTGATACTTGATGACTCCCAAGAAAATATTGATGATGATGATTATACAGAAAGCGATTTGGAATGTGAAAGTGAGGTAAACAGTGTAGTTTCTAGCTCTAGGCTAGGCCGATCATGATAGTGCTAGTGCCAGTGGTAGGCCTAGTGATGATAAATTTGCCGTCAGGTTGATGGATGGCTGGTAGCGGTACAGGGCCTAGGAAGTGGTGGTGAATATTGTAATTTAAAAAAAATCATATTTTACGTCCAAATAACTCAGGGTGAGGGTGCCGCAAGATGTAAATAATGCAGGGTTCAAAGGGTTAAAGATGTACTGTTTAAGCTAATTAACTTTAAAATAAATTCACTATTTGAATTGCTTGTATTTATAAGTAAATTATTAGCCATCAATAAAGCAGGAAAGTAATTTTAAGTCAGCTTTAAAACCTCACCTTTTAAACTTGTACTTTTCTTGAATTAAACGTGTCTTTATTTTTATTGTTAAGCGCATTGAGATTTCAGCATAATGCGCTATATAAGCCAAAATAAAAATTATTATTAATTGGTGAGTTTATGCATAGGGATCTATAAATCTAAGCATGGACTAGTGTTAAAATACTTAAAATATTCAGAACAGGAATGTAATTGGTCAGTTTATGCCCAGGGAGTTACTGTAAGTCTAAGCAAGTGCTAGTGCTAAAATACTTCAAACGTTCAAAACAGCAATGTATTTGATCAGTTTATACCCAGTGATCTACAAGTCTAAGCAAGTACTAGTGCTAAAATACTTCAAACATTCAGAATAAGAATGTAATTGGTCAGTTTATGCCCAAGGAGCTAATTCTAAGCAAGAGCTAGTGCTAAAATACTTCAAACATTCAGAGCAGGAATGTAATGGTCAGTTTGTGCCCAGACAGCTAAGCCTAAGCAAGGACTAGTTTTAAAATACATTCAAACAAGTTGCAAAAACTGAAATGGTTGTTTCATAAACAAGACTTAATCAAGTTATCAGACTACCAAAAAAATAATATCAAACAAAGGTCATTACAGTATTTGTGGTTAATTAGGCAAAGGATATGATAATTACAATATCCTTGCTACAGTAATATTAATAATAATAATAATAACTTTATTATTTCTCTTTTGTAACAGATGCACAATCGCTAAAGAGATGTGCAACAATAATTAACAATATAAGAGTAATAATAACATATGTAAATTTGTCTTGCTATAGATGTTTCTTACTTAACTAATACATTGTCTAATTAATACTTTATCAGTGTTTTGAATTTTTTACTTAACTAATAACGAAAAGACATTATAATAATACGCATCCCAAGAAATGAAATACACGCCACCACGCTCGACACTGTTCCTGCCATTGCCAGGAATTCCTGACGATGCATGACCAGTGCCGAAACTCGACGGTGCGCATTCCATCTCCCGGAGAATGCATTACACTTTATCTGAATAAACTGAAAAGAAACATAAATGGAACTTAAGAAAAAAAAAAAAAAGAATAGAACTAGAAAGAAAACAAAACAATAATATTTTTTTTTTCTCTTTCCTCCTCCCTCCCTTACTGTATTATGTACAGTAATAGATTTTCCATACATTATTCTATGTTCAATCATTTTTAATATATTTTCCACCGTCATATATTATTAGAAAGGAAAAAGGTAAAGTTCAAACCTTAGCTTTCTAATGTTCCCACCTCACTTTGTGTGAGGTCTGGCCACACTGTAATGGGGAGTGGTATGATGGGTTTAACACTCCTCTGACACAAGTAGTCTGTTTTACCTTCCCAACTTATGTTACCAATTTATTATCCTGATTACAGATATAGAGACACAAATATATTTGTTGGCTGAAGACACACACGACTTGCACAGCAAATATTTATTTGAGTATTACGAAATTCACATTCGGTTTAAACACCTAGGCATAGAGTAACTATTGACACAGTAACCATTATTTTGTACCTTAAGTTTGTCAGTGACCTTAGTACTACTGTAAAAATAGCTGTTCTAAATTTCCTGTTTTCAACCAATCAAATGTTAAGGAAATGAAGAGTAATGAATAGCATCAATGTGTATTTGTGGAGCAGGTTTCACACCTGCCATCAATGTTTTAGTTGGCTGCTACTATATTATTCTGTCGGAGGTTTGAAATTTATTTGTTATGACCTTTACAATATTGACGATTTGAAAGACTACCAGTGATTGAGACAACTGACACAGAATGGTAGAATGATGTGATGTCCAACCCACTATGCAATGCTGATGATAACTATGGATGTTCAAATCAACCTGAATACTTAAATTTACTTTAATGTTTTGTCCACATCATCCATTTTTTGTGTCGATTATCTGTGTTTTGCCTGTATATAGACATGATAATGTCATTGCACACCTATGTGCAACTCACATATATTTGTCTCATAAAACGTAATACTGTAAACAGGAGGAAACACAACCATATATGTGCAACTCAATTGTCACACCAAATGTTGTAGTGTGACAAGAAGTACTGTAAACACCCATATATATATATGGGCAGATCACAGGTATTTGTCATATAAAACTTAGTACTGTAGTTGAACAGGAGCAAACACCTGTATATGGGCAAATCATAGTTATTGTCACATGAAACATAGTAGTGTGAACAGGAGCAAACATACACATATATGGGTAAAGCATAGTTATTGTCACATAAAACTTTAGTCACATAAAACAAATCAAAGGTATTTGTCACAAAAACTTAGTGTGAACAGGTGTAAACATACCCATATATGGGCAAACTAGTTACTGTCACATAAAACTTAGTAGTGTGTACAGGAGCAAACATGCTCATATTTTGTACAAAGCATAGTTATTGCCGCATAAACCTTAGTAGTGTGAACATACCCATATATGGACAAGTCACAGGTACTGATAGTTTGGTAAAAGCTTATTCTAATGAAGAAAGTGCTATTATTTCACTGGTATAATTTGCACTGAATTCCACAACTGATAGAGGTACATTCTTAATGTAGCAAACACTAATCAAATAAAATTATCTGAACATTACAGCGATTTTTATCGGTCCTTTTGTAGGAGGATTTTGCCAAGACATATTCTGGCCGTATTCACCATGTGGAGAACAGTGTTGAAGAGCACTACCTTCAGAATCTACGAACCGCATGTATACGAGAGCGCTCTCATAGTATGTACTTTTAATTGTTTGCTATGTTGTAAAATATTAACTGTCAATTAATTTAGGCTGTTATTGGTATTAGATATGATTTCGCATTATTACACCAGTCATTTTAAATTGTATGCTGTGTCTGCATGAGCAATGTAATTTCCAGTGTTGGATGAATAAAGGAGACTTCAACATCTAAACAAAAATATTATACTTTACTACAAAGTTGTTTTGGTTGAAAGCATTCTATTGTTGCATGGTGTGATATATATTGCAAATATTAAGAAATTTGAATACTATCGTTGAATAAAAAAAATGTATATATTTTTCTTTCAAGCTTTTATTTTATGTTTTGTAATGTTTTTATCATTATTTATTTACAGAGGAAGGGTTAATGTCAAAAGCAAGATATTTTGGAGATAGGAAACTTTATGAACAAGCCCAAGGATTGACAATGCCTAGTTGTACGAAATACAATTCTCTTATTGAAAGTAGATAATAGAGTTAGCAAGAAAGGCATGAAAGACGGTCATCGTACAGCAATCTTCTCGAGGATGACCTCTTCTTGTGTTCACCTGCTAAATTTTATTGCTGGCTTTTAACAAAATTATTCTGTTTTATTTAATTTAAACATATCGAGCTTATCAGTCTGTGGTTGGCTGATGTTCAGCGAGTAGCTTAATGTGGGTTTTGTTCCCTGGCTATCAAGATTTACTGTACACAAAAACTGCATTGCGCGACTGCTATATAAAAGAAAGTTTTGGCAATATTCTCGCTATAGAAAAAGTCCACATAAATAGGTTACTCAGTAGCGGATTCAAGGAGGGGGAGGGGACCCAGCTGGAACAGGCCCCCCAAAATATTTGAAAATTTGAGAAAAAAAATAAAATGAAGTCTGAGAGTGCCATTTCCGGGTGCCATAATCGTAAATTTTCTTACCTCAGCCCCAACCATGGTGGCGCTGAAGTGGTCCCTCCCTGGGCCTGCTCTACAGTATTTAAAATTCTTGGATCCGCCACTATTACTAACCCTAGTATTATTAAACTCCGCTCACACTATCAATTTTAAATGGGTATATCTTGCCCATATATGGGTAAATCATGCCCATATATGGGGTAATCACAGCACCTTGGTAGTGTGGACAGATTATTAGCATTTTGACCCGTTTGTATAACTTTTTAAATGGGCCTTTCCTCTGAGCTAAAATTCCACGACAGTGAAAACATATACGACTATGAACATGTGTTTCTGGGACATGTGCATATTCCTGGCCCCATTCTGATTGGTCAGTAGTTGCGTTTGATTAACACTCCCGATAGGTCTATTATAATTGTGTATTGGGTATTCATACCATTCTGTGTAAATGAAGAGTGCATTGATTTTCCTATTTTTTCATATATTAAAATTTGATTTGATATATTATAGTAGCTGTAAGTGTATATATTATGTGAGGATAGATGAGTAACAGTAAATGTTGGTATGAAATATGAAATTAATTATGAATGTTTTTATTATAATATTAAAATTGATTGGTTAAGAATCATGTGAGTAGGAGTGGGTGGAGAATTGTTTCAATATTTGATCCTTATAAATTATTCTTATCAAAAATGGTTTTGTGTCTGCTCCCGAGTTAGCATTGCAGTAATATACTCATTTATCTATGCTTGTATTCTGTAAAAAATTGTACATGTTTTGTTATAGACAATTTTTTTTAATGTTTCAAATTTATCTTAAATATTCTTATTTTTAATGTCTTAGATTCTTAATATTTGATGTGTATTGCCAGGCTAATTTCAAATTATAACATACATTAAATATTAAAACCTTAATTTAGCAAAGCAATAGTACTCATATTGAGGGAGGCGGAATCTTTCTGTCCAACACAACGTTTCTATCTTCTCTTCAGGGGGTGACCCCTCTGTCCTACATGGATATTCTCTCTGCTATTGACAAATCCAATTAGGAAACAGCGCTCTCTATTGGTGCCGACATCAGTGAGGACCTCCTTGGGCCCCTCCTCCCTATGTTTTTCCTTTTGTTACCTAAACTCTATATACTACTAACTGTTTATTTATTTATTTAATGTTTAATTTCTTGTTGGTGTTGACATGGATGGTCCATAAGAGATATGTTTAATTTTAAATTTCTTTAATTACAGTTTGCAGTTTTACTTAATATCAATGTTGTATGAGAGTACCATAGCTTGAATTGAGACATTTCTTCTGAACAAAAAAAGAAATTAAACAAGACGTGTCATTGAAAATATTATATGCTTAACATTAGTATATTTATGACCAGTGCAATCATTCTTTTTAAAAAAAAATTCTGTGTTAACTAACATGTATATAAAAATAAAGGTAGTGCTTGATGAGTTTTAGGTACTAGATGTCTTTTAAGCAGGTATAGATAAACATATCCTGCATACACTACAGTTATGTGTCAAACTCAAAAGTTTGATCAGATTTTGATGAAGGTGCACAACATACATTATAAAGCTCTGTGTACACTATCAAATTTTATGAGACAACTTTCATGTGCCCATATATGGGCATGATTATGTCATATTTAGGCCTATACCCAGGTATGAACATGTCACATTTATTTGTCACATTAAATTTGAGGTTGTGGATGGAACTTTAAATTTGTGTGTCAGATTTATTAGAACATGTGTTTGATCATTATATTTTGTCTGAGAAAAAAAAGTTTGCTGACTCAACAAAAATGTTACAATTTATTAATTCTGTATTTTAAAAATGTATTACAGTATATTGTTTTTATTTACAGAAATACTACTTTATGCTGTGGGTATAGTTCCACTTACGCAGTTGTAGAAATAGTTACTGTACCTTGTTCTGTATCTCTCTGACCCATGATATCAGTCTAACCGTCATAGAATTTGGGTGTAAAAAAGTATAACAAAAATGAAATGCTGCTCAATGGCAACTAGCATATGCCTAACATAATAGTGGAGGTTTCTTCTTTTGACTTTTATTGTATGGTTCATTTATCTTTTTAGGATATTGATATGTTTTCAAAATAATAATCTACAAAAAGTGTAATTATCTGCCATCTAGCAGTGTTGCAGGTTTAAAAACTTATGCTTCAGCACCAACTTTTAACTTCATTTGGAGCTATCAAATTCCTATTATACCGGTATAAGATTTTTAGCAAAATAATTCTTCATATAGAAAATTTATGTCCTTTCAAATAGCTCTCTTTGAGTGACTGATGCATCTCTAAACCTGAAATTATTTTGTGTTTAAAAAAAAATAGGCAGTGTAAATAATTAACCTTCAGAATATAGTGTAAAGCCGGACATACACTGTCAGATTTTATCAGACCATGTTTCATCAGACTTTGATGGATAAAAAGGGGGATGGGTGGGGTAGGGCGTGAGTGGTAATCGAGGACCTAATATCTAAAGGGAATGGAACCTATGGTCAAGCAAGCATGGTTTTAGGCAAGCTGCAGAGTTTTAGCAATCTTAATCTCTTATCTAAATGATCTCACACTTAGTGATTTATTGGCTCCTGCCAGGAGGAGGGGTTCTGTAACTGTCTATTGTCTATTCTGAATTTGACACACGCATCTGACAGTGCATGTCCTGTTTAAAACTCAAGTGGTGGCGAGTTATTTTAGATTTTTGTAACATTAAACAATGAAGATATCTATTTAATTGATTAATTAGGTGTTTATAATGAATGTGAAAATAAATGGTACACAGTTCAAGATATTTAATGATATGTCACCTATATGTAGTTTAAGTTAGTGTATTATATTTGTCTGTACAATGATTTATATCAAAGTTTTTGGCAAGGATTATTAAATCAGATCAGCTCTGGGAGCAATAGAGGAACGCCTCAACTTTTTGATTGTGAAATGTCAAATTATGCAGTTTTCATTATCTATGCATTTCATTCTCATTGCAGGAGTGGCGCGAACAGTACCCCTGCTTAGATCCCTCTGTTGGGGAATTTCCAGTAAGGTTGTTGGGGAAAAAGTACAATTCAAGCCTTGCTAAACTGTCAAATTTTAGGAATTAAAAACTGTTTAGTGCTAGCAGTGCTATTGTATGTGTGAGGAGTTGTATAATATTGCAATTGTGTGTGTTGCAGTGGTGGCGCCAGCTCTTCCCCGACGGGGGGGGGGGGCTGGTTTTCCAGACAGGGGGCTGTATCCCTGTCAAGGGGGACGTTAACTTGCATGGTTTTCTATCAAATTATCCTTTTTAGGTGAAGAATCCCATAATTAACACCAAATTCTATTATTGTTTATTAAAAAAATTCCCCAAAAAATTTAATTTTTTCCCCAACCGGGGTGTGTTGACTTGGACTCCCTTTTCAGGGAGCTTGGTCCCCTCGTTAGGGAATTCTTGGCCTCTGTCTCATAGTCATCTATTGCTAGTTCAGTTGTTTGGCATCCAAACTCCACTATGGTGACTTGGTATGAAATAAAATATTGGAAAAGGGGAAAAGAGAAATGGAGAAAAGAGTAAAAGGTAAGGAAATACGACTAAGGAAAAAAATATTAAACAATTATTTTAAAAAAAGTAAATAAAATTCTGTACTTTCCAAATTATTTATTAACTTTATATATTTATTTTTATTGTTATTCATTATTGTTACTCTTTTTTTTGGTTAGGTGAAACTTTTAATTATTTTTTACCACACCATGCTCTAAAGTGCATAGAGGTATTTTACATTATGCGCTATATAAATTGACTATTATTATTATTATTATGTTGAGGTTTTCGAGTGATAAAGTTGTTTACAAAGTTCTCTGTTGATAATAAAAACAAGTATACAAGTACTTATAATAAATGAATGGGAAAATCCAAAGCCAACTTGATGACGTGCTAAGTTTCACAATGAACAGCTAATGGAGAACAGCCAGGGCTCCCCCGCCCCTTGCCCCCATTTATATAATCCAAAATTATTCAATTATTCATACAAGGAATACAGTATACAAGGGGTACAGTATGCTAAATAGTAGTCAGATTATGAATTTCTCCCCTCTTTAAGCTAAATTTCCCCTTCTCAAAATTGCTGCTTTTATAGATCTATGATGTTGCATGTAGCCAAGTTTTCTGAGATAGATCATATTGTGGATAGGCCTACTAATAGCAGGGTAATATATCAGGATTGGCATGGTGGGAGGGGGAGGGGTTAGAGGTACAGGGGTGTGGAAAAATAGACTAACTGTGGTTAGGGGAAAGAGCCAAATGGATCGCAAAAATCACAAAAAAATAAATTTTATATTCTGGACTCCAAAAATGGACCTTTTCCGATTCAGATGAGGGAAGGGGGTGAGGGAGGGGAGCGCATGCCTCAGCTTCAAAATAATATGTGCCTCTCTTATCCAATGATTGCTCCCCATACAGACAATCATGCCATATCATAGGCTCAAATCATGCTGTTACTATCCCATTTACCAGCAAACCCTTTAAAAGGGCATTTATAGGCGGGATTGGTGAACCAGGTTTTGCCTCAATAATCCAATTAAACACCAAAGAAGAATAACTCTACTTAAGAGAATAAAAAATAGATAAGCCGTACTAGTCTAATATATAATAGAAAATAAAACTCAGGATATTCAGTACTTTTATGACTAGTTTATTTATGACAGTACACAAGCTTTCGTGCACACAGTGCACTTCTTCAGGTGAATGTGAAGTTAACATAAACTTGGTGTATAGACCTAAGCAAGTTAATTATTCAAAAACCGAAAGGTCCACTGATTAATCTCAGATAAGAAAGTATAATACATACTCCAAGTATTGAAATACACGCCATTGTGTTGGGATTCAATATTTCGACATTAATTATGTCATCATCAGAATGATGACATAATTAATGTCGAAATATTGAATCCCAACACAATGGCGTGTATTTCAATATGATGACATAATTAATGTCGAAATATTGAATCCCAACACAATGGCGTGTATTTCAATACTTGTAGTATGTATTATACTTTCTTAATTATTCAAGCATACAATTAAGACAAAAGGACTAAAGCATAAGCAATAAACAGTATAAAAAATGAAAAGACAGGTCAGGGGTCAGAAGTATTATCAAAGTCAGTGAGTATAATATATAGTAACTAATATATAGTAAAAATAAATGTAGTACAGTATCTTAAGTCTGGGCATCATATAGTGATATACAGTACTAATACTAATTACAGTACTAATCTACTTAAGAGTCATTATCACAGCAAGCATTGCTGTTTCTCAATAAATTACCAGTATAGTATTTAAAAACCAGGCTGGAAAATTTTAAAAACCTGTTCAAAAAAATTTGGCATTTTTATTACCTTAGCTATAATTACAGATAAAAATCATTATAGATATGCTTTTGAATTTTAAAAATCAATGACTTATGTTAGAAGTTACAACATGGTTTTTGATTTAATTGTGCTAGTCTTCTTATGAACTATTCACAACTAATGAGCTTCACTGTTAATCTTGTTACAAAATTCCCTGAAACAGTAATTAATAGAGATAAGAAGAGATTGGCAAAACCTGGTTAAAAAATTGAAAATTTGGTAAATGGTGATGTATCCTCATGACATTACAACATTTTTAGAGATTTACCTACGGACGTGACTATAAAGGGACTTATTTAGGCCACAGATGGTCATGGATATTGAGTCATTCCTTATCAGTCCTATAGTGTATTATTACCTAAATTTGGGAATTTCCAAGTTTAGGTAATGAATGTGTAGGCCTATGTCAGCATCATACAAAAGTAATATTATCCATTACATTTGACAGTAGCACGCAAACCGATATTTTGCCAATATTGAACTGTATTTTTGGATTCTGATTGACGACCCAGGCTTGTATTCGGTCAAATAAAATAAATTGCTTTTATTTTAAAAGTATTACAATACCATGGTAAGTTTTGTTTTGTTTTTTTTTCCATTGTGATATAAGCTTTTATAGTAAATATTTAAAGTAAAAAGCAAAAAAAAAAAAAAACGCAAGTGAAGTTTGGAAAAACCCAATTTCTTTTTAAAAAATAATAATTTTAAGTGTAAGTGTAGTTTTAAGGCCACTTTTGGAAAAGTGACCCGAAGGAGCCATTAGTTACTGAAAAAGGGCAATGGCTCCTAAGGGTCACTATTTTTCCATTAGTGTCTGAAATAACAATTATTGCATTTAATAACATTCACCTTGTTATAGCCTAGGTAACACTTGTGTCCTCTGATAATGTCCTATAAAGGCTTATTTTTGAAGATGAATGAAATGACATTTAGTCATGAGATTACAACTGCTTTGTTTTTTTGATTTAATTGTGCTAGTCTTCTTATGAACTATTCACAACTAATGAGTTTCACTGTTAATCTTGTTACAAAATTCCCTGAAACAGTAATTAATACAGATAAGAAGAGATCGGCAAAACCTGGTTAAAAAATTGAAAATTTGGTAAATGGTGATGTATCCTCATGACATTACAACATTTTTAGAGATTTACCTACGGATGTGACTATAAAGGGACTTATTTAGGCCACAGATGGTCATGGATATTGAGTCATTCCTTATCAGTCCTATAGCTGCTTGCATGCAATTCTGTAACAAACCTATTAAAATATGAAAAAAAAATTCTCTGATTGTGTATGTATTGATCATGTACATTCATAAATTGCAAGAATTGCCATACAATTTTTGTTTTAATTAATAAAACAGCCACATCATTACTTCATCCACACGTTGTTAGCAAATGTGTTTACCATGTAATTGAAAGTGAGCCAATCGTGTATTATTACCTAAATTTGGGAATTTCCAAGTTTAGGTAATGAATGTGTAGGCCTGTCAGCATCATACAAAAGTAATATTATCCATTACTTTTGACAGTAGCACGCAAACCGATATTTTGCCAATATTGAACTGTATTTTTGGATTCTGATTCCGACCCAGGCTTGTATTCGGTCAAATAAAATAAATTGCTTTTATTTCAAAAGTATTACAATACCATGGTAAGTTTTTTGGTTTTTTTTCCATTGTGATATAAGCTTTTATAGTAAATATTTAAAGTAAAAAGCAAAAAAAAAAAAAAAATGCAAGTGAAGTTTGGAAAAACCCAATTTCTTTTTAAAAAATAATAATTTTAAGTGTAAGAGTTTTTTTAATACCACTTTTGGAAAAGTGACCCGAAGGAGCCATTAGTTACTGAAAAAGGGCAATGGCTCCTAAGGGTCACTATTTTTCCATTAGTGTCTGAAATAACAATTATTGTATTTAATAACATTCACCTTGTTATAGCCTAGGTAACACTTGTGTCCTCTGATAATGTCCTATAAAGGCTTATTTTTGAAGATGAATGAAATGACATTTAGTCATGAGATTACAACTGCTTTGTTTTTTTGGTTTTTTTTCCTTTTTAAAGGCCATTTTGTAAGACTCCATTTTCTAGTACTGCAGCATAAACAAAATCAGGTGTCTGAGCCTGGGATGTGCACCTTAACATTTTTGCTAATTGTACACATACATATCTTCAAAAGTTTCTAAAAGGATTGGTGTCATCTATTGTATCAGATATTTTGTACCTCAATTTATGCATAAGATGTCAGCTAAAACTGTTTTTTTATTTATTGGATTATTGTTCTCCTGCCAGATAGTCAGGATTTTTAAAGGAAGTTCGGCAGGGGGNCAGGGGGGGGGGGTTTATAATTGTTCACAACAGGGCACTTACCCACAGCCCCACCATGGCTGGGGGAAATTTTAAAGATATAACACCTCAGATGTCTGGAGATGGCAATCAAGATGCCAAATTTCAAATATTTGAAGTTAATGAACACTGCCATGCAAACGTTACATTTTAATAATAATATAAAAGGGCATTTCTGAA